AGTTACGGAAGAAAATACACTCATCAGAGAACAATTTGAATTAAATATGACGATTTATCCAAAGTGCAAGGACATTGCCTCTGATGTACAACACAGAATAAGTCAGTTAGAAGATTGATTGATTGTATAGTGCTTAACATCCCTCTCAATAATTTTCCCTCATATGGAGACGCTTCAGTTTGAAGAGGATTATGAATTACTCTCAACAACAATAACAAAACATGGAGAGGATTGGCACAAAGAAATTGACAACATTGTTTACAAACTTAAAACTGCAGTTGATAAGATGAGAAAAACACGGAAACAAACTTTACAGGAATATCTGGATGGTATAAACAAGACAATTTCTAACATTAGTGATGAAATCGAATCAATTGAAATTGCTTTAAACACCAATGACTCGTCCAAACTGGTAAGTGGCATATCCAATATTATTATATATAGAAATCTTCTATGAGTAATCGCTCATTCTTTACCCAAATTTATTCCCAGAAAAATCATAGGTAAAGAACTCAATAAACTGTTTGGAGCCTTATCGTGTAGTTAGTTTAGTTCAGATGAACATGGCTTAAGCAAGAAGAAAACACAGAAATCATCAGAATCTCTTATTTTTCCTGCAATCAAAGAATGGCTCAATTAATGAACCAGAGACAGTCAACGGTTTTATAGACACTGGGTATAACAAACTTTACAATGTTGCCTGCCTGAGTGATGAAGAAATCTGGACAAATGAAAATGACAGCACTATGAAAATTTACAGCATCAATCGGGGATCACTACTCAAGTCAATATCAACAAAGTCAAAATGCAACACTTCTGAATCAGTAATCGAAGCGACAAAAGCCGATTATCTGGTGTATTCTGATTTCAATGATAGAACTGCGAACATTGTGAAGAAAAAGAGATAGAGGAGGTGATCAGACTACAGAACTGGTGACCTTTTGGCCTCTGTAGTACCTCCTCTTGTGACCTCCTGGTTTCCATGCTCAGTGATGATAATTACCAATCAAAAGTTGTTCGTTACTCTGGCTCAACAGAGAAACAAAACATTCAGTGTGATAATAAAGCTAAATCTTTGTATTCAACCAGTTATATTAAATATATTTGTGAGAACAGGGTGTGTCATATACAATTGCACCCCTGAAATGCATAACTGAGAAAAAAGTGGAGAATTTTACCTTTGATAGTGAAACCATTTTATATAAATGTACACTCAACAAATATCATAGATATCGATACATGCATCCCTTGTGTGCTTTATTTATTCATCTTGAACAATATTGAGGGCCATGAAAAAAAAGATTTAAATATTATGTAATCTTTTCTGGAATTAAACATATGGAGATAACTTACAGTATACATGTTGTATATTCAAGATCAAATGTCCATAAAACAATTCAGATTAGGATCAGGACAAGCACAGACTTCAGTCTAAAACATCAGAGGTGGGATCAAGTGCCATGGAGAAGGGAGCATTCCCTGCTGACCGGTCACATCCACCGTGTGCTCCCTGTCTTGATCGGGAAATAAAGGAGAATTTATTCGTCAATTCAGTGTTTAAATAATGGAAATAATATACTGTAAAACGAGAATATTTTATAGTAATTTTTGCGCCTTTGGCTCAAAAGTCCCTGTACGCTAAACTCTAATGGATTTAAATATTATTTCTTTATGTGTGTGCTCACTACTTTCACATTTTAAGTACTGTATACAGGGAAATTTTCGCCCCCGTTTTATTTTCGCCCCTTTCGCCCTCTTCCTGATTGGGCGAATTTAAAACGGTGCGAATTCAAAATACACAGCATAATTTCTTAAACAAAACTATGACTGGGTGAATTTAAAACGGGGCAAAATTGTTCGCAAGTGCAAAAGGGCGAAATTAACACGGGGCGAAAATAACCCTGTATACAGTATATGAACATGTAATCCGGAACGCGTGATTATGTAATGTCGAAAGACCGTTGGATTTCATATACATATTAGCAGTTTAAATGGTAGGATCGATCGAGAAATTTCTGCCAAATTATAATTTAATTTTTTATACAGTTTAACTTTGCCCTCTGGAGTCGATGGAGCCAGAAAAAACTTCATGATATTGAGGTTGAATTGCATATAGTATAAAGAAGTTATTGGGACTTATCAAGCATTTCATGGTGTTTTGTGTGAGAAGATGTATGCTTAGGGGTTTTAGAATGCAAGGTGACTGCTAATAAAAAAAACCCAACATTGCACTAACAAGAACAAGTACTGCAACTGGGATCCAGAAGGACTTGGAATAGCAAATATGTTTTTTCTATTGAAAATTGAAGTCCTAATAATTACATCTAGCTGACTTTGAACATTATGTTTTTCCCAATGAATGCTTTCCCAGACACACCTAACAGAAGAACTACGAACTCTAACTTTTGATTCCCGCCTACATTTTGCACCCATTAAATTCAATTTTAATGGCAATTTGGCCATTACATTTTTGAATTTTTGTTTCACGGAGGGGGGGGGGTGTTTTAAAATTATTTTCCGTTTTCCGTTGATTTCTATCGTGAAAAACACAAGTTTAACCAAAATTATAGTTATTTTTCTTTGGTATCCCAAATAAGTAACATTTTATGAAATTTCATATAAAAATCTATAAAAAAAAATTCGAAAATCGTTCGAATATGTTAACTTTTGAGAAACGACTTAGAGGTAGGCGGGAGAACAATACTATCGTTCGTGGTTCTTTACGTTACAAAAAACACATTGTCGTTCTGCCTTCATAGCCTCGCACAAAATCACAATGCTGGACATTATCTCCACCGTACTGTAGGGTCATTAAAATCTTACAAAGTCCAAGCTTCATTCAAGAAATTTCAAACAAGGACTTAAAAGAACTAGAAGAAAAAATATATCCTGCATATAAAGAAATTATATCAGATTTAAACTCTGAAAATCTTAATCTGAAAAAAAATTACAAGAAAACGATAACAGCTGTCACCAAACAAGGAGAAGACTGGCACAGAGAAATTAGCATCATTGTCAACAAACAGAAATCTGAAATTGATGAGATGAAATCTATACACCTGGCTGCTCTATATAAACAGGAAATTGAAATTAAAAAGATTACTTCTGAAGTAAATAAGAGCCTAATTGATCTGAAGAAAATACTAATATTAGACCACGATGATGTCTCCATATCATCTACATATAAATCCAGAAATGCAGAATTCAGAAGCTTGCCTCCTAAATTAAAGGTTTCATTACCATGTTGTTTCTCTCCTCAACAGATCAATACAGAACAGCTCCATCAAATGTTTGGTTCTCTGTCAGCATTATCCATTAAAAGAGAAGAAAAAGGCTTCACAATCATACCACTGCCTGATGAACCAGAGCTCATCACCACCATAAACACTGGGCATCAAAGACTATACAGTGTTACATGTCTCAGTGATGAAGAAATCTGGACACGTGGGTCAGACAAAATCATGAAACTCTACAACCTCCAGGGCAAACTACTGAAGTCAATCTAAACCAAGTCTGGGATCATACCACGTGATATAACGATGACAAAAAGTGGAGATCTAGTTTATACTGATCCTAGTACAAGAACTGTAAACATAATGAAGAATGACCAGATACAGGAAGTGATTAGACCACTGGGGTGGTTACTCTGGCTTCAAAAAAAAAAAAAAACAAACCATACAGTTTGATAGTAAAGGTAAACCGCTGTATTCATCTGGTGACAAATACATCAGTGAGAACAGGAACCTGGATATTTGTGTGGCTGACTTTAAAGCCCATGCAGTAGTGATGGTTAATCAGTCTGGAGAATTCTGATTTAGATACACTGGCCATCCCTCTACTACAGGGGCATCATTTAATCCAGTCGGCATCACAACAGACAGCCAGAGTCAGATCCTGACAACAGACTTAGTTAACGCTGTATCCACATCCTAGATCAGGACGGACAGTTCCTCCATTATATTGATAACTGTGGTTTAGACCATCCAGAGACAACCTATTTGTGACAGAGTATAACAGTAGTAAAGTAAAAAAAAAAATCAAAACATGTATATGTAATCAATGTTTTTAAAATAATGACTTGTTTGTGATAGAAAGTTTTTCAATGTCGAAACACAAGAATTTTTTGTTTGATTCAGGTTCTTTCTGGTACTGAGGTGTGTGTAAGTGTGTGTGTGAGGGTGTGTGTGTATGTGTGATAGTATTGAAAATAATATTGATAACGTAATCTATGAATAAAAGTTTATGTATAAATAGTTGCTCGTATTATTATTCTATTGATTGTTGGAATGACTGCTCAATAAAAAACATAACATGGGAAAGCATCTTCAATATCTCAAAAGGAATACGATGTGTATGTCCGAGTATAAAACAAGAAATAAGGGGAGATGTACGGCCACCTTTAGAGCTAAGAGAAAAAAATGTTAACACTTCTTGAAATGGCTAAAATATATTACATTTTGATCAAATTTCAAGTCCTTATGATAAAGATACAATACATATGCATAATTAAATGCATGTTTTGTATAATTTATATAATCTATATTTTTGCAGAAAAATTCTTTTGAAACGCTCCTAAGAACTGCGCAGCTACAGAATTCAGCAAAGCCTTAAAACATGAACAAAATATGCAAAGTATGCAATAATGTTCTCTCTACAACAATATGTTGAAAAAATGACTAAATTTTGAACTTTTAAATGGTAATTTCAAGTTCTAAACAAGGCACTATAATCTTCAAAATGAGTGTAAAGAACCATGAAAGTAGTTAAAGGACAGCAGCACGTGGTCTTTTTTTTTAGCACAGATTTTTTTCCAGACCTCTTCTTAATATGGGGGTACTTAATAATGTTAAAATGTAGAAGATAATTACAGTTGGAAAATGTTTCAAATAATATGAACACTTTAAAAAGAGGAATTGTGTTATATTGTGAAATATTAGTATTATTATCAAACAGCTGTTTAATAGTGTACTGTAAATTCTCACATCTTTGATTCCTGGCAAGGAAAAATGAGAGCACAATCAAAGTTAAAAATTTAAATTTGTAAGTCTGACACGGACAACTTATTTTATCTACCAAAATTTTGATTATCGCCAATGAAAAACAAAGAAAATTAAACACATAAAATCGTTATGAATTACCTTGTTTTAGTACTTACTAGTTTACTATATGAAATAATTTACAATTTTCATCACACCGGAGCACCATTTCACAAGGAATATAAATCATTAAGAAACTACATATCGTGTAATGGGATGTAAAAAAAAAATGAGTCGGGCCATTTCTAGTCAGTAGGTCGAGTGAGAGGGCAATTATACTTAGTGATACTAAATTTCTGAAAAATTAGCACTATTTTGAAAAAAGAAACAAGCAAATATTGGATTTTTGATGTTAGGGGTGGGGTGGTGGGTTAGTCTCCTGCTTGTTTGCGAAGATAGACATTACATAGGCAATAAACATTTATTTTCAAACATTGTGCCCTCTTTTGTATTTCAAAGCAACAACTGAATATATTTTATCAAACTTCGTATGTTGGTGAGAGCTAACAACTTTGTCAACATAATTATTGAGACATGATGTGTTTCTATGTCCAAAACATTACTCCATACAATGCGTGGACCATCACACGCAAACAATCTCTAATTTCTGTAAGGTGCCTGAAGGAAATCCAAGAACTTATTTTTCTATCTAACTACTGAACAAAATTGTCATATGTACAAACTTCTGTCTGTGAGCTTGGAATAGAAGATACCATAGAGAGACTGAAACATCTGTAAATCCGTTTTATTGATAGATTAATTTTTAAAATAACAAAAGTAACTGAATTTTAAACATTATGTATGAATTAAATCAACACTATATTAGCATTTATTTCCTAATATACTTACGTATGTACGTTAACAAGAATGATTTCTTTGCATTACTACTTTCCCTAGTTTTCTTTTTTAAGGGAGGGGGGGGGGGGTGGCGTGGGGGAGTTGGTGGTTAAATAAAGCGAATAGTTTATTTTGAAAATGAAACACCTAGGTTTTACATTTTAATATGGTCTTCTTTAGACTGACATGTTTTAAATCAATTGTATGGCTTTCGTTTTTGTACTGAAATCGAAAACGATATGTCCCGTCAATGTATTTGGCTTCCTGCAAGTGATACCACCTCTAAATTTTCTATGCAGGGGTCCATGTTAATGCTTTGTTCTCTTATCTGTATCGTTAATTAATTCTATTTTAAAGATCGATTGCTGTTTGTTACCTTTAATTTATCTTGATTATAATACAATTTTATTGAAGATCAAAACATGTTTCAATTGTCAGTTTAGATCTTTCTAAAATATGCCAATTCATTTGGTATTGAATCTTAACAGGTGACTTAGACTGAATTAATGCAACTTTAGATTAGAATAATTAGAAATAAGTAATAAAAGTATTTTATGATGTTTTATTCAGGTGTTGACAATACCAATATATTAAAAACTGTCAAATAAGCCACTGGATTAAATGTCGGGGGGGGGGGGGGTAATGTTTCTGTGGTTTTGAAAAGACATACTTCCTCAGCATAGCTATACATTTAATTTCTTTGTTTAATACTCAGGAGCAAAGAAAAAGATTTTCAAAGAAATAATTATTTTCACTTTATAACCTATATAGCCCTGTCCTAGCTCTAGACCCCCAGACCCTGTGGCATGAATTTCAGAATTTTGGTAGAGGATCAATGCTTATTACATTCATGCTAACAGTTCAAAAATGATTATTCAATGTCAAGGAGTTTAAGGGGTTGCATTAATTTTAAAGGTTTTTACCCCCATCCCCATCAGGCCCCAGCGTGAGGGGGGAGGGATAGGGCTATAACATTCACAATTGTTGTTCTTCTTCATCCATAGATTCTATATGCAAAATTGGTTGAATTTGGTTAAGCGGTTTTAGAAAAAAGCTGAAATTGTTCAAATGTTAACTCTGGACGAATGGCAACCGCCAACATAAAGGATATAATTAGATATATAAAAGGAAAACCTCAAATTCTACAACTCTAATTAGAATGGTGTGGGATGTCAGGGACATTTTATTTACTTCAAGTCCAGACGAGTTATTTGGAACATTTTTTGATATCTGACAGTCCTCTACTTCTCCCTCACAAAGTATCAAATGGTTGTCCCCTAAAGCAAAGTTTTATATTCAATAAAAAGGTAGTATCCTTTACGAGATATATCTAAATCTTATTATAACTTTATCTTTATATTGACAGATAAAGATATGTCGGGTATTAATTGCACATGACGTGGTAACAGGTAAAACAAGGATAATGCGTAGAAAGAAAATGTAGGATTATGAGGGAGGACGTTTTGGATCTTAAGGCGAGACAAGATAATATTTACGATTTAACACACTACCAATGCATTACCCATGTGTAAACTAGTAGATCAAAAATTAGTAGAATACATTAATTGATGCCCAAAAGAGGCGCTCTAGGTCAAACTAATATATATTATTATGAGGTGTTAATTCATTTTTCTTTTTTGATAAAAAGAAAACTACAAACACAAAGACAATTAATTAATAGGGCATTTTTGTCATTTCTAAACGGTTTTGTCATAATTTCACAGACAAACTATATTTTTCACCATTGTTTTTGTTATAATATAAGTATAATTAATATAATTGTTTAATATAATTGTTATAATATAAGTATAAGTATAATTTCTGTTGTCAGTGATCCACGTCTTTGCTTAATTTTTTTTTTTTTACTAATGCCTTAGTGATGGACCCTTTGGACAGAGCTCAAATACTTCTACTCTGTGACCTGTGCCAAACAGCTGCATTACAGAGTCATTGAAAAGTTTGTCAGATTAACCTGTGTAAGGCCAGTGTACTGGAGCATCTCTCTGATTCATCCATAATACACACCGTTGTACCATACAAACAAAAAAGTTCTACTCCTAACGTGAACTACCAAAAATGTCCATCACACACACAGAAACATTGTGAACTTTACTGTGAGAAATGTGACATTCCTGTCTGTTCTACCTATCTCTCCTCTGATAAACATCATGGACATAAATTAACAGATTCGATATCTTACAGAAACCCAGTTTCGTTAAAGAAATTTTAAGAAAAGATTTGAGAGAACTGGAAAAAAGAATACAACCTTCCTATGATAAAATTGCATCAGATTTCAACTCTGAAAAACTTGAGTTGGAAAAACATTGTGAGAAACTGACAGCAGCTGTCACCAAACGAGGAGAAGACTGGCACCGAGAAATTGACAATATTGTCAATATACAGAAATCAGAAATAAATGAGATGAAAACTAAACACCTGGCTGTTCTAAACCAACTGGAAATTGAAATAAAACAGATTACTTTCGAAGTAGAACAGAGCATACTTGATCTGAAGAAACTACAAGTATTAGACCCCCATGATGTGTCCATAGCATCTACATACAAATCCAGGAATGCTGAATTTAGAAGTTTACCTCTTAAAGTCAAAGTTTCTATACCAAGTTTCTCTCCTCATCAGATCAACAGAGAACAGCTTCTTCAAATGTTTAGTTCTCTGTCAGCATTATCCATAACAACAGAAGAACGTGGCTACATAATGAAAACACCATAGTATGTATTCTGTCCTCCAGTCAAACCAGTGCTTAATGAACCAGAGCTCATCAACACCATATCCACTGCATATAAACTATATAGTATTTCTTGTCTTTGTGATGAAGAAATCTGGACATGTGGAGATGATAAAATCATAAAACTCTACAGTCTCCAGGGAAATCGAATGAAGTCAATCAAAACCAAGCCTGGGAACATACCACTTGAAATAGCAGTGACAGGGAGTGGAGATCTAGTTTATACTGACCCTGGTATGAGATCTGTAAACGTAGTGAAGAATAAACAGATACAGGAAGTGATCAGACTACAGGGGTGGACACCTCGCTATGTCTGTAGTACCTCTTCTGGTGACCTCCTGGTTACCATGGTCAATGATGTTGAAGAACAATCAAAAGTTGTTCGTTACTCTGGCTCCACAGAGAAACAAACTATTCAGCTTGATAGTGAAGGTAAACCTCTGTACTCATCCGGTAACTTTAACACGATTAAATACATCAGTGAGAACAGGAACTTGGATAGCTGACAATGGAGCCGGTTAATCAACCAGGAAAACTCCGATTCAGATACTCAGGCCATTCTTCTATTTCAAAGAGATATTCGTTTGAACCAGTCGGCATCACAACAGACAGTCAATGTCACATCCTGACATCAGACTATTACAACCACTGTATCCACATTCTAGATCAGGACGGACAGTTCCTCTGTTACATCGATAACTGTCAACTAAAGTATCCATGGGGTTTATGTATAGACACTAGAGACAATCTATTTGTGGTCGAGTTTAGTGGTAGATATAAGAAAATCAAATACAAGTAAACGATGTTTTGTAAACCAATAACAACACGTTTGTGGCTGGCATTTTATCCCGTAACCAATCTCACAAGATATTTTATGATTATTATACTTTACATATTGTTTTAGTGCCATGATTATAAGGTAGGTATTTAAAAAATATAACAATTTTTGGTATAACATTCTACCTAAAATTAAAATAATTGCTCTATGATGACATAATATCGGTAGAAACTTTGTATACCTGTATATCTCATTGTGAATATTATGTATAAATGACTGTATTTTTGAATATGAAAAAAAAAAAACACAGAAAGACTTTATTGTGTTGATTTATGCACGGAACACTGAAATTTTCGATTACATTGTATTTTTGATGCACTTAAAGTGAAATGCCCTTAGATTTTTTAAAATACATATACTATCCAACTTATTATGCCCCCATAAACGAAATGTCCTTCCGTCTGTCTGTCTAGATGTCTGTCTATCTGACTATATGTCCGTCTGTCTGTCTAGCTGTCTGTTTCTTTGTCTGTTTGTCCGCAAAAACTTTAACCTTGCCCATAACTTTAAATTTTATGGAGCTATGACTTTCATATTTCAAATGTGTATTTCCTGTGACAAGACCTGTCTTTGAGTACTACCTAACTTAACCTTTTGACCTTGGGGTTTGGCCCATTTTAAAACAAAAATTCCAAAGTTTTACTCATATCTTTTGACCAGTAGATACCAGGGCTTTTATACTTCATATTTGTATTCTTTGTGGCAAGACTTTTCATTGAGGAGCCCCAACCTTGACCTTTTGACACATATTTCTCAGATGTAATCTTTATAAGAAGACCTTTCATTGGATACCAAAGACTTTAACCCTTTGACATTGAGGTTTGACCTACTTTTTAAATACAACATTGGCCATAATTCTTGAAGGATAAGAACTAGGGATTTCATACTTCACATATTTAATTCTTGTGACAAAACCTTTCATTTGATATTAAGAACCTTAACTCTTTGACATTGTCCTTGGAGTTTGACCCATTTTTACACAAAAATTCCTAATTTTTACTTTGGCCCTAATTTTGAAACGGTATATACTATATAGGAATTTCATATTTCAAATATTGATTTTTTAGAAGAACCTTTCATCTTCTCTAATATGATAATCTTATCTTTATAAAATTCCATTTTTAAAAGGTAATCTGTTTAATAGATTGTATGAAATTACATGCGTATGATTCTACCGTAGGTATTTATAATCAGTAAATTTAGTTTTCTTTTATACTGTAAGTTGAAATACTCAAATTGATTTCTTACAGAGGAGTCTTTTAGTAAGTACTTTACACATTGTCTATACTTGGTTTTGTCATAAAACAGCACCAAAATATGACAAAACTGCGTAAGAAATCATGTCAAAGTATAGAATAATTAAGTATTGTTAATCTTTCAACATAGTAAATGTTTAGTATTGAAAAGAGAATTCTTTTACACTTATGGGTAGAAATCTTGAAATTTGACATTGGAAGGTATTTTTCATGATGCTAGATTTCAGAAAGTTAACCTAAAAATGTTATTTTTATTTACATTGAAAGCAGTCGAACAGGTGAGAAATACTTCTACTTCATGTACAGAAAATACTGTAACAGAAGTTGCATGGACTGCATTGTTTCTTTATAAAGAAAAGGCAAACATGGCAAAGATATGCTTTAAAATGAACAGATATAAAAACGGCTGCTTTGGACGAGAAACAATGAAAAAAAAAACATTTGGGAAAATACTATCATCCAATAGCATATAAAGATCCTATCAATTATTTTGTTTGAATATTTTGTTTAAACTAATGGAATAACATCAAAATTAAGACTGATTATATCTCTTTTAAAATATATTTTGTTGTCACGTTACACAGTTTTGCATAATGAGAAAGTGTCCTTAATTTGTGCGTAAAACCTTGTGAGCTTAAAAAATGCGTTTACCTGTATGCCAAGATAAATTAATTTAACACATTATTAGCATGTTTTGTCAATGACTCATTGGGTGCAAGATGAGATTTGACTGCATACTGTAAAATTATATCTCTTCATGGGGTCGGAGGATTGAGGAAAAAATACATATATTCGTCTTTGGAACATATGTAGCAGTACTGCATATGACATTTTATATTGCATGGTGGTAATGAATTTTTGGGGTCTCTCCATACCTCGATAACAATGAAAATTAAATTCCTAAGAAAATGAACGATTTCAGAGTACGTAACATCAAATAAACTTGAGAAATCTGATTAACATTAGAATTCTTTCTTATTGTAAAGTGAATTTTTTAAAGTCATGTTTATTAACAACATCAATCCGAATCTGAATCTGAATTCACTATAGAAAGCTCCCTGATTTTTTTGTAAAATTTCATCTCCCCGTGTTGAGCCTTAATAGTCTTCTCACTCTCTTTAAAAGAGCCTCCACAAAGTATTGCATCCAGGACCTACAGTATTTCTCAACAAACAATTAATTTTTTGAAATTAATCCAATGATGGTTCACAGTTAGATGATAAATTAAGTAATGATTTGGGTGTTTCTTGATCCATCTAGCCGTATGCTCTTCCCCTTAGGCATTTGGGATAACCATTTCTTATGTACGATTCCTACGTCACTGTATAAATTTGAGTAATTTCAAAGATTTTTTTTATTTCATAGTGTCACTGTGCACCCTTTATTTTACTTTTTGATCAGACACTTATCTCGGCTTTCACAGAGCAAAAATGGACCTTTGTCATTATAATATGTGAGGCAGGAAATCATCTAGTGAGCTTTTAGCTCAGTGAAACAATACTTCTAGTTTTAAGTGTATAGATTGTTTAAAAAGGTTACGTTTACAGTTACGTAGTATATATGAGAGAAAGAAATGGTGTTTAATTAATGTTTCATATTTTACTTCAGTATGAAGAAAAATTACAAAAATATGCTTTGATTTTCATTTTAAACTCCCTTGAAAACTGATGGGGTATGGGCGCCTTTCCTGTGCAAGTATTGGACGCTTTCAGTAGGTTTGATATAAGAGCGAATGTCTTATCGCTGACTATCTAAGAATCTTGTTCCCTTGTAAATAGTAGTGTCTAAGAAATTAACCCTAGTGTGAGATATTTCGTAAGTAAATCTCAAATATTTGTGACAAGAGTTCCCTATGTCAAAAAATTCTTTAATAGCATCCAGACATCCATTAAATGAGTTAAAGCCGTCATTTCTAAATCTGCCGTGATAAATAAGTTTGTCTGCATGTTAAAATTTAGATATTACATCATCAGTGATCTCTTTCATACGTATATCTGTAATTTCTGGTGACGGGCATGCCCCAATCGCCGCGCCTATAATTTGTTTGTAGTAAAACTAGAAGACCAGAGCCGCAAGGTCGAGGTTATCCAGAATAGACGTGTGCAAAAAAGGTTTATGCAAAAAGAAACGACATCTTTTTAATTTAAAAATTCAATAAAATTTATAAAATCCTTTTTATCACTTCATTAGTCATGACATAGAAATAAGTTATTTAATTCAGTTCATTATTTACTCAGTACTTAAACAGTTTGAGTTCCTCTTTCAGACTATGCTAATTCTAAGAGTATGTGCAAGGAAACCAAAATATCTAAAGTAAACGGCATAGGTACCAGATATTAATTATCACACCTGTCAGTAGATATTATGATATCCAGAACAAGTGTGAAACCTTAACATTCATATACCGTTATTTTTGATGCACTTTGTTTAATATCCAGGAGTGTAGTTTTTCAACCAAATCAATATCATTTCACTATTTATTCACAATTAAATTAAATTATTTGATGTTCAAATAATTGTACAATTCAAATTCGTGACCTTGACCATTCATTTATTATGCCAAAAAATCTTCAGAAAAGATATTTTTTCAGTCAGTCACTTCTTTTGAACCTTTCATAAAATTTACAATATTTATATATATATATAACTAACCCTATACAACGTTCATATCGGTTTATTTGCGCCGGACACTTTATACGTTCAACAATTTCAATTTTGGTTCATGGCACAAAAAAAATAAAGCAACATACAATATATATTGTAAGATTTTAAAATTATATTTAGATTTTAAAACCCCACTTTGCAGTTCTGACAGGCTCATCAACAGTAAAATCATTACAAGATACCTAATTGCGACCTAGATATTTTTGGGTTTGGTTTACCTGAGGTTGATAGTACTGCTCGACAATAAGAGATCACATTGGAGAAAACCAATAGAAATACCAACGCCAGTTGAGAACTTAAGTCCTTCCCGCGAGTCGACTCGTCAGACTCAAGTATCTTTAGTTGTTTGTTGACTTTCATGTACTCTTTTATTGCTGAAAATAAACTATAAAGATTGACTTCCGTGAATTTTTTTTTCCATTTTCACTATCACATATCGAAATTGAATTTAGAAAATACTGATACCAAAATTGTAGACGCATTTCCTCCAAGTGCACTGATAAAATCTTTAGAGAATTACATGTATAATGTCTAATTGGCTACTTTTGGCATTTTTAAGCTATATTCCTGTTATTTACTATAGAATATCCGTAGCTTATATTTTACACGTATAATGTTGTTATAAAATTCCATAAATATGGAAATACTACTTCACTGGTAAATTGCATGATCATAATTATGATAAGTAAATGTAATACTCTATATTTCCAAATACAGCGATTCCTGTGCATGTTTTTGATTCCTTTAG